TTGTCAGCTGTCATTTTATGAGTGTTCGGGTGCTGATTGAGTATTTCTCGTCTTTCTTTGGGGAGATTAAGAAGTGAGCCAAAAATGAGAGGACAGAGATTGAGAGGTGCGTAACGGTCACCACATAAAAGAGTTGAAATTTGGAGAAAGACACACAGTAAGTGTAGAGCGAGATCTGTGCGATTGCGAATAGCACTTGGACCACGTTTAATGTTGTTTTTGCCACAAAGTAGAATGGGGTGTTGTTGGGGTTTTGGTCGACGTGGAGAAAAATTGTCAGATAGTTCTGTGGAGGGGTTGAGAGACTGTTGAATGTCGCAGATAGGACTGTCTTTTCTTCTGTTTGAAAGAGGAAATACATGAAGTGGAGACAGTGGTGGAATGTGAAGACAAGAACGTGTACTAATGCCGCGATGCACGAGATGAATGGCGAGAGCCACGAAAGAAATGCGTTGACTGCGCTGAACAAGCCAGAATGAAGAAACACTCTGTCAACCAACATTGGGCACGAGAGGTGCTTTTTCAATGACACTGAGGAAGCTGTCTTGTTCAGGTAGGTGGGTTCCATTGTTTCTTTTCAGTTTTTTACTTTGCGACTTGGTGGCTAATCCCTCACAAGCCCCCCTTTTTTTGCTTCTTTCTCTTGTTTGTTACAAATATTTTGCTCTATTTTCAACCGTTTTTCGCTCGAAATTTTAGTATTTTGTTATTATTATTTCTATAGTTTGGTATAGTTTATTATATAATAGAGAATGATAAATAATAGTTAATCACAAACTTTGAAGAAATGGAAAAAACACGAAATATAGTAAAGTTGTAATTAGTGGGTTTAATTGCTTCGATAAACAAATTATCAAAAATTTCACCATTATTGAGTAAATGAACGGGCTTCAAGAATCACGATGATGTAATTGAACAATAAAAAGACATTTTACTATAATTGGTAAACAAAGAAGACCCCAAAAACATCTGTTTTCTGTCATACTAATAATTGAAAGACATTGGTATTGAAATAGTTTAATTATTAATAAAAAATAGAATTAATTCAAAGTTGACTCTGTGAAACTTCAAAACAACAAGCTCAAATCAGTAAAGAGTTATAAAATTAATACTGTGCGTCACAGTACAAAAATGAGTATGAGAAGGATCACAAGGACAAGGATCAATCCGCCGACAACAAGTCCGATTTTCCAGTCTGTATGTTATTCCTCATTTGAACGTACACTTTGAGGTTAAACAAATAAATAACAAACTACTCGACTTTTCGATGACCTTGTCGATCTTTTCTTTTGTTGAGACAATTCTTTGGTCTGTGGTGTCGACTTGGTTTGACATTTCATTCAGCATCTGGTCTTGCTGGCTGATTTCATCGTTAATTGTCATTCCTATTTCGTGGACAGTTTTGACGTTTTCGTGGAGTTTGTCGAGTTGTGCGTCCTGCTTTTTGATGATTTGCTGCTGCCTATTTCTCTCGTTGTCGATGAAAAAATCGTTTTCTTCACGCATATAGTCGTTCAGCTCTGTTTCTTGTGACGTGTTCATTGTTTGTTTATTTTGTCGTTGTGGGGGGATTGTTGTAGCCATTTGTGTTTTCAAGTTTTAACTTTTTCTCGTTTTTGTTTTGGTATTTTGTTATTCTTTTTGTTATATCTGTGTCAATAAGATGTCGGTTTGGTTTGGGATATTTGATGTTTTGATTTTTCTGTATTATTATAATACAAAATAATAATAATAATATTATTATAAACTAAATAGTAACTTTATTATTACAAAATAATATTTAACTTAAAAGATATTGATAATTGTTGTCACTCAACACAATTATTTAGAAAGAAAAACAAAGCATAAACATACAATGTAATAACTTTTATAAATAATTTTGATAATAATCATCTTATCAATAAAGTTTCAAAAAAAATATTGTATAACAATAAGTTTTTGAATAAAATTACAGTCCCTCATACTAGCCTTACATATATATATGTAAATAAAAAACTTGTGTTCTAAAATTGTTTTTAATTATTTCTATTATATAAACAAAAAATAAATTTTTTATTTTATTTTATTTTTTATTTTTTTATTTGTTCCACATTAACCATAACTATTTTTAAAATACAAATTTGATGTGTGGTATAAAAAACAATGTTATTTCACATTCTTATTTTTAGAGAAAAAAAGTATTTGATTTAATTAATAGATATTTTTTAATAATAATATTTAATTTGACATTTCTAGTTAAATAATAATAATCAATATTATTGTACTAGTTTTAACAAATTAATTTTTAAATAAAGTAACAATTTAAATAAATTATAATACAATAAATGATATTCCATTTTAAGTCTTTAAAATAAATATATTAGCAATAAGCAGTACATTTATTATTATAATATAATTAAATAGAAGGTATTGCGATAAATGATTAGAAGTTGGTGAAGTGATACACACAACAAAGAAGAACAAAGCTATGTAAATTAGATAATTGATCATTATGCAGATTCCAAATCCACTATTTTTCTAGTACTAAGCATATCAGCGATTTCCTTGTCACACATTTGTAGAGTGTGTGTCAATTCCAAGTTGACTATATCAAAGAGATAATCATTGATAAGACCCCCTTTGACGGCCATTTCCTGTACATTCATCAATAATTTTCCTTTGAAGAATATTCTTTCAAACCGTTCAATAGAAGCAGTTTTACTTGACTTCCGCGACAACTTTGATTCGAAAAAGAATCCGAGTTCAAGTGCAATATCAAAGAGAAGGTTGTGCACGAATATTCTCTTGTTTTTCTCGTATCTTCTGAAGGCAGTTGCTTTCGATATTCCTTCCATCAATTCCTTCTCATAAATAGGTCTAAACTTCTCTTCAGTAATTCGCATCACTTCAATTTCATCGCCCACAAAGTGTAGGGTTTTGACTTTAGCGCAACACAGTCCGACACTTGATTGTTTTCTTGGTCTTACAAGTGTGATGTGGCAAAATTGGTTAATGAGTGCAACTAAAATAGCCTCTTGAAAGCATTCCATGTCCTTGACTACTTTCTTCTGAGTGAGGTACTTTGGGTCGTTGTAAGCTCTTCGGGATGGTTTAGATGACGCACACGATGTAGAGTCGAATGACATAACTATCAATTTTTCTAAGAACCTTTTTATACCTTTTGTTTCTAAAACAAAGAGTGGCAATTTTGGCTCTTTAGATAGGTATTTTTTCTTTTCTGTTTCATATCATTATCACCACCCCTCTTGCAGTCAAAGACACTCTTTTTTTTATTCTTCACACCACCCGTTTTTTTCTGTGACTGGGTGGTATTAGACACTCTAATTTGGTGGGCTCTGCCTTTTGAAATGCAGCCAAGTCTTCCTTCTCGTCATCCCGTCGCATGCTCACCCCTCAGACAATTCATATATGTTCCACTATTAACAGCCAAACACTCGGGATTTTACCGTTTCTTCTCGCCAAATTTGTGATAAAAAATGGAAGACAAGTTCCACTCTTTTTTGGTTCTCCTTCACAAAAAAAGAGGACAATAACGTGCGTCGAATAAGGCCAATAATTTGGGTATTCACTGGGAGTATAAACAGGATTGTCTCGCAAATTTGAAATTGTGTTTTATTTGCCCGATTTTGCAGTTAAACTTGACGAACAATTCAGTAATCTTGAAATTGAAATAATAAATTTGCAAAAGTAAAAATAAATTATTAAAAAAGCAGTTTTGGGCTGTTTATGCAATTTTTTACCATCACATATAAGAAACAAAGTCGAAGTAGTCCTTCTATTGTTTGTTTATTATTTTAATATTATTTTTAAACAATTTTTTTAAAAATTTATCCCGATTTTTGATTGTTTTTTGTTAATTTAAAAAAATGATTTTTTTTTAATAATACCATAATAATAACTTATTTGTTATTTTATATTTAAATAGAAAAAAAAAACAATATAATATCTATAGTTTAAAATATTAAACGAATTAAGTAATTGTACTGTTGAAAGATTAATTCCATTTGAACTTCTTGCTCCAAATATGGTATTTTAATATCTGATTTGAGATTAAAAATATTAGAATTATTTTTTCTCATACTTCCAAAATTATATTTTTGGGAATTTTGAGACAATTTTCGGCTTTTTTTTCGTTTGTAAATTTTGACGAATAATTTTGGTTTTATTGGCGCAATATTATTGGTTTTTATCCCATTTTTTGAATAAAATTTCCAAATTAAAATAAATTGGATAAAAATATGCACAAATGGCGAGGTTTGGTAATTAACTTAAAAATATGTAGTAAAGAAATTATAATATTATAGTAATAAAAGATTACTCATACAAAAAAGCAATAAAAAAACAATTCCCGTTTTGTTAGTCGGATGACAAGGATGGATTGTTGATCATTTTTGGATGATCCATAATTGATGTTTTTCCTTTTTATATAGTATTTATAATAGTAAAAGTGTTATAAAATAATCGAAAATATTTAAAAAGATGATTTGAAAATTGATTTTATAAAAACCAAATTAGCTAAAAGAAGCACAACCCATAATTAGGTTTTTCAAATTCGAAACACAAAACGATGCACATCGTTTTGTATTGAAAAGTCGGGAATGAAAAAGAGATGGTGTTTATTTTTAAAATACAGTTTTGAAAAAATTGAACCTTTAGTGGAATATCACAATATCATAGATAAAAAGGTCTTTTTTGTCTGAAAAAGAAGGAAAAAACAAGTCAATGAATGGAGCAAAACTCTTGTGATTAAAGTTCAATAACTTCAGATTTTTTCCATTAATTCTGATTTTTGAAAATTCAATATCATTTTCTAATTTATATTACTATTTATTTACAAAATGTTATTTTAATTAAAATAAAATCAGAAAATATTTAAATGGTTACGAAATGTTTTAGTTATAAACTATATGATTTTTAAGTTTTGTTGAACGATCTTTTTAGTTCGTTATAAAGAAAAAGTTGAGTGATCTTCTTCTTTTCATATTCATTTTCAACTTTTTATGTTTGAAAAAGGCATTTTTTGTTTGTTTTATTTGATTGAACTTATTTAAAATGATACAATTTTTGTTTGTGAATTTTTTATTATTTGTTATTAATTGATATATATTTAAAAAAAACTAATAAATTAAAAAAATTAAAGACATTGAATATTTATATAATAAAAAATCAAATTATAATTATTGATTTTAAAATTTAATATATTTTTGTTTAATATATAAACTTTTTTTATAAAATAAACAATTATGATCAATTAATAAAAATAACTATTAATTATTTATATAAAAACAATATTTATAAACACTTTAATTATTATTATAATATAAAATAGTATTGTTTTTACATCAAACTGGGAACTTAAATTGTGTGATGTTTGAAACTTTAAAAATTCTGTTTAACCTCAAGATCTTTTTTTTATTTCAAAAACAACAAAGAGACACTTCAAATAATTATTTTCAACTATAAAAATGGTTCTTCTCACCTTATTTTTTGTTTGTCTCTATGATTTTTGTGTAAATCACAAAAGTTGAAAGAGGATTTGATTAATTAAGTCCGATTAAAAATTCCCTATAATTTCTATTCAAAACTTGCCATTTTCTCTTAAATTGTCATTACGGATAATTATTTAGTCCAAAAATGCATAATGTAGCCAACATAAAAACATCACATTGTGATTATTTCTCATTATTTTTTACTCATAAAGAAATTGAACTGAATTTTTAAAGTAAAATGGCTTATTACGATCCGATCTATGGAGGTTGCCCACCAGTCGTCCCAGTAGTCCCAACAATGGCTGGGTACCCAGTTGGATGTGGAATGGTACCACCAGTTGTTCCTATGGCCCCTCCAATGGTTGGCCCTATGGTCACACCAATGGTCACTCCGATGGTAGCTCCCATGACGATGGGTGGTTATCCGATGGGAGGGATGCCAATGGGACCAGCTGGTTATGCTGGATTTTGATTAACATATTTTTACACCATTTTAATTTTCAATTACACACGCCTTTCATCCAAAACATGATATTGTACACTCTCGTTTTTAAAAGCTATTAACACGTTCAAAACAGAAACGTAATAATAGAAAGTTTTTATTTTTTTCTTTTACCTAAACCCTTTTTTTGCCTTCATACACAAAACAAATTTTTGAAATTTTTTATTTTTTTTATCAACTCAAATTTGAATTGTATATTTTATTGTCACACAAATAAACATGAATGAGTTTATTTGTGTTAAACAAGAGCAAAGCATTAGAAAGAAAAATGGGGTCTAATGATGGTTTAATATATTTGGTTTTTTATAAAAAGTATATTATCATTTGATTATAACGATATTGGTGTTTATATTGTCGTTATATTTGTAAATGTGACTATTTGACATTGTTTGTCATAAAGTGGATTGACGATGTAGCGTTTTTTGTTTTAATGTTGTAACACAATAAAGCGATATGAAATTTCGTCCAAAAAGATTATTTTTGATCAATCTTAAGTAATTGAGTTATCATTTGTTAATTATTTTAAGTAAAATAAAACTGACTATTGGCCGGTTTGGGTTAGAAAGGGGTTTTGGAATAAAAAATAATAAAAAATGATTTGGACAATTTCCTTTTTACTTATTTTTCTTCTTAAAAAAAGTTTTGGGTTGTGAAAGTGTTAAATGTGTAATAATTTAATAAATTTTTAGCTATATCTAAAAGAAGAATTGAAAAATTTAAAGTAAAATTCTTATTAAAATTATTCCATTCTTTTTAAAAATAGAATATAATAAATTAAATAGTATAGTAACTAAAAGACCAAATGCAATCAAATCAGTTATTCATAAACAAAGAGATGTCAAGTTCTTTTGGCTTTAGAACAAATGTTTTATCAATAATAAGCCTTTTTGTGATATGCATATTGATCTTTAATCCTACATCAAATATCTGCTCTTTATCCATGATCCAAGTATTATTGAGAAATATGGATGTGATCCTTTCAAGTTGAATAGTCTTTTTAGATGGTCTTGGCAATTTATAATTGAAAAAGTATCCTTCTTCTATACACAAATCAGCCATTAAGTGCAACATCGACGTCCTGCGATTCTTATCAAATCGCCTGATGGCTGCTTGTCTATTGACCCCGCTCTTTAGATCTTCTTCTAACGTCTGCCGACATTTCTGATCTGCTATTTCGAACACCCCGATTGTCTGAGTTTCACTAGATAGGGAAAGAACTATAGGAATGGGAATAGTCTTTGTTGTTTGTTTTTTCTGTGCTTTCAAAGTGATTGCATATTTCTTATTAAGAAGTGACACCAAAACAGCTTGTTGGCAGACTGGATAAAACTTTGAGTCGAGACAATCGGTGGGATTTTCTTTTATTGAAATTGTTGGTCTTTGAAGGATCACTTGAACACAATTGTCGGATTGTTTTGAAGTTTGAACAATTTGAGACACACTTTGACTTTCATGAGTATTACAAAATAGCACTTTGGAGTCTTCGGTTGTTTTTGAAAGAGATGAATCAAATTGTTGAGGAAAAAGTTTATACGTAAATTGTTCGGTAGGAAGAAGAGAATAGGACGTGTTTAAACTGTCATGTTGTGAAGAATACTCTGTGGATGGGAAAGGATTCACAAAAGTAAGATCTGTTGGCTTCATGGACGTTGGGGAAGTATAGAGGAAGTGCCACAACGAGTTGTTGAGGATATCTAAGGAAGCCGATCCCCGAGGTGTTGTCTATTAATATAATGAGTGTTTTTTGGGTAATATCAATGGCAATTATTACACAAATATGAATTCAAAACAAGTCTAAATTTAAGACCAAAAAACAATTATTTAGTAATAATTATATTATATAAAAATATAGTTATTTGTTATTATCAGCTATAAATAGGTGTTCAACAGAATGTTTTGTCCCAAAGATAAAAGTAGAAAGAATATTTTGTCATTTTAAATACAATTTGGAAGTTTGTGAATGATAACATATTTAAGGAGAACAATAAAAATATAATACTGGTAAATGTTTTAATACATTTAATTCAGTATTTCGTCTTCAATTATTGACATTCAAATTCACATGTTTTAAAAACAAATTGCAATTGGGATTGCCACTTTATTCAAAAAACATCCTATTGCACTTTATTTATTTGTTTATCTTTCCGATGATAGTATAATTCAGTGTATCCAAATTATATGTTTATAAAAAATAAATTATTCTTTTACATATTAATAATTGATAAAAAAATAATATAAAAAATAATAATGTTTTATTGTTTGTTTATTATTAATACAATCCAAATGGTTTTATTTATAACAATCTTAAACATGATAATGACAAGTGCTCCAAATATATCGTTTTGATTTAATAATTTCGTGTGTAGCTAATTTATAAGACTGCAATAATTTATTATTTTAGATGGTTTGGGGTACTTATTAATTATTATTATCATTATTAAATTTAATAATTATATAATTTAATTTGATTATCTTGAAATTTAAATAGATTGTTTTTAGAATTATAAAAGGAAAATGATCTGTTCCAAAAATATATTAATTTTTTATATAGATTTTTAATAATTAAATTATACAATTTTTATAATTAAAACAAAAACTATATTTTCGGTGGATATAACAATCTAGTTATAACAAATTGGAGATTCTTCCAATTATCTTTTAATTCAACACAATAATAAAATATTAACAAAGTTAGGTAAACATTTTTTGTTTTTTGTATTGAAATAGTAATATTTTATAATAATTTTATATTATATTTTTATTACTCTTTTGATACCATTTTTATTATATTCAAATTAAAACATATAGTTTATTTTTTCCTAACAGATATTGAAGTTACAAATAGTTTTTTTAAACCACAATTTAAAAAATGTTTTATAGATTAAAAAACTAACTAAAAAAACCATGTTATATCCGATACTGAGAATTGCAATTTTTTGTTTTTTTGTGTTGTGTTCCTCAAAATCAAAATCTTCGAAACGACAAAAAATCTACATGAACGGAATAGAGCAACCAAACTTTTCACAATACCATCACATCAAAGAAGTCACTTCAACCGAATTTCGTTCTTTGTTTGAATCAGAAAACTACGTCATTGCACTCTTCTGTTATTTCACACAACAGTCGTGTGTCCCATACATACAAACAATTGAGAACTTTGCAAAGAAAAATAAGATGATTAAGTATGTTGTGGTTGATGGTATTAATGCAGAAGAATTGGTGTTTGACTATCAGATTGACGATTTCCCTTATATCATATTTCACAGAGGATTGTACAAAGACCGAGTATACCGTTCAGATGATTTCGACGACTTTCAAAGTTTCATCACGCGAGGGATATCACCCGTTGTTCACGAAATTTTAGAAACTGATATGGTCTCTTTGGAGAGGCAAAAGAAGATAACTTACTTTACGTTGTACACAACACCAAATACCACTCAAAGTGAGATCGACGAGTACACTGATATTGCAGATATATTTACGGAATACACGGAAATAGGGTTCTTCGCAATATTCAATGCTTCAAATACATATTTAAATAATAAATCGATGAATATCATTTATTATAACAACCAAGCGTACGACGATGTAAGAGAAATCATTCACTACCAAACAATAACTCGTTTTAATAACACAATTGAGAGGTTTGATGTTGGAATAACAGAGTGGGTCGTCTCTGTTGGGGTGCCCCTGTTCAATCTTGCTGTCATCCCTCTTCTGCAACTCTTCGAAGTGTTACCAAACAGAACGCCAATGCTGTGGTACATGAATGAAACCATTAGTGATACCACACGGCTTGAATTTATTCGTAAAGCGCGAGCATATCGAGGTAAAGTGGGGTTTGTATACACCCCTGAAATAGAGGAGGTTGAGTATTTGAGACAAACTACACGACCGTCGATAACTGTTGTTCACAAGAATTTGAGAACGATGTACCCACTTGCTATCACTGAACCCAAAGATGTCGATATGGCCTTGGAGAACATCTTTTCTGGGGCGACACATGAAAGTGTGAAAAGCAGTGTTGGTGGTAACATGTCTGGCATTCCCATTTTGACTGGAGAGATGTGGGAGAATGGGATCAGTGAGTACGAGAATGCAACGAAAATCATCTTATTGGTGGACAGCTCTTTGGTTTCAAAAAATTTGGTCCGTCGAGAACTTGCCGCGGTATACAGAAGAACAAAAAAGAGCAGAGAACTCAACGAAATTGTTGTTCTGTTATTTAACATTGAAAAAGACGATGCACCGAAGGGGGTCTACATCAATGAAGTTCCCACAATATTTTGTTATTTACAAGGTGAAAACGTATTCGAAAGTCCTAAAGCAATATTCGCTAAATACCCACAACAAGATGACGTTATTCATTTCATTTCCAAAAATGCGAAAACAGAGAATTTTGAGCCACATGAAGACGAAAAAGAGTGGCCCGAGCCTATTGAAGATGATGAAGAGGAAAAAGAAAGAAGGCAAAAGAATGAAAGACTCGACAAAGAACGAATCCAAAAAAAGAAGGAAATGAAAGAGGCGATGTTAACGCAATTAATGAATAACCCTTTCAAGAACCAAGAGTTTGTAAAGAGTATCCACACCCTCGGACTCTTCACTGATAATAAAGTGATGAAAAAGGCATTTGACCAATTCGAATTCTTGACAAAAATCGGCGTCGATGTTAACTCTCTTGAGGGTGTCGCCTCTTTGAAAGAAAATGAAGACAATTTGAGGAGGTTTGAACTTGAGAGGAGGAAAACTCAGAAGACCAAAGATAAGACAGAACTATAAGTATATAGATTTTTTACTATTGAAATATACTCTATTTCTATAAACAGTTTACTATTTTTTATAATAAATTAATTGTTAATTGATGTTATTAATAAATAGATTAAAGGTTATTCAAATGCATTGAGATACAGTTGTAAGGCTTCAATGACTTGATCAATCTTTATGCGTTCTTTTCCTTCGAAACACCACATTCTGTTCAGCAAGGCATAAATCGTATTGTCAATGCAGTCGACTTGGGCCAAATGCTTTCCTGATGCAACAAAATCTGCTATGGACCATGCAAACTTGAAATTTTCAATGGGATATGGTTCTTTCCATGTAAAGCATTCATAAATGCTGACTGCAAAGGAAAGATATCACTTGGCATCTTGTACTTC